CAATCCTATCTGCAGAGAGGCTTCACTGCCACATGGTTAACTAATAATGTGAGGCTCATACAAAAGTTTTTGAAAGATAGTACTATTTTAATTTCTGGAAATTATTTTTGTAGTAGCATTTTCAATTTGCACTCTTTTCAATACTGTAAGGCAACAGCATCTGATTGACATTTCAGGGGTTGGGTGTAGCTTGATGCCTTTATTTGTCATCCTCCCTCCCCTTACTTTCAGCTGTCTTTGAAACTTATGAAGACACAGTGTTCAAAATGACAATATCAACAACAATAACAGCAAAAGCCCTTCACTTAATATGCCAAAAACTGTGTGCACTGCTGACTTCGAAAATATTGGGAAAAGTTGCCAAAAGCAAACCCTGTCACCAAGCCTTAAAGGGGAAAAAACAAAAAAGGCATGACTGCCTCCAGCCGCATGCAAAGGTGCCATCTAATATTTCAGTGGCATTATTCCCCCCCTTGAGGCAGAGTTCAGCTTCCAGCAACAATTTCTGTCAGTGCCTGTCATCAAATCAGTATTATGGATGACAATAAAATTCAAAATATGCTTTAACTGGGTAGGAGCAACAAAAAGACACATCTGGTATGTAGGTCTTGCCAAAGTGCCTTTCTCAACAGAAGTCAATGCAAGCCAATGTTATTTGCTCTTGCCCCAAAGTATATTTCTTTTGTACCATCACAAACATTATTTTGAAAACATAGAAAGCAGCGATTCACAGACACTGTTGGCCCATCTCGCTCAGGATGATCAAGACTGACTCACAGCCACTCTCCATAGTATTTAAGCAGGGGTTTTTGCACACTCCCTGGAGATGTCAGGAATTTAGCCTAGGACCTTTATGAAAAGCATGTTCCCTACCACTAAAGAGATGATAGCTCTTGAAATGAACAGGATTGGATTGTGTAGTCCTAGGAGAAATACTCCTTAAAAAGTGCTTTAAAGCAGAAGAATATGGTATAGCTGTTATATAACATGCTGCTAAAACCAGGAGTATGAGGTGCCTTGGTACCATAACCATGACTGTCTTCAGGCCAAGGCAGAAAGATTCTAATATGAGTGCTAAGAATCTGTGTTTCATGGGGCATCTGTGTGTGCTGTCATTTAGTTTCTGAATCTGTTAGTCTGACATAGTGAACTCCCCCCCCCCTTAGAGAGATCAGGAGGGTCTTCTGCTGCTATAAATGCAGAAATGTGGGAAGGAGGGAAAGATTGCTAACATTCTCTCCACACACACACACACACACCCTTTTTGGCATGTTAACAGTCACTCAGATGGTCACTTCTTTTCATTGCTGTCTGCAGTCAATTTGGCCCAGATCCCATAATCCCTTTATATATATATATATATGAGTGGCTTTTCTTTAACTACAATATTCCCGAGTGGTTCCTCTGCTCCTTGAGAGCATTGTGCCTTTTTGATCCTGTCCCTGTTCTTCTGAGCTTCCAAGATTTGGGAATTATGGGAAGTCCCTGTGGGGAATTTCCTCCTTCTTTTTTAAAACTTAATTTTTTAAAGATGCCTACTCTTCACACTCACTTTCTGCTCCCGACGGTACCATCTGCTATACTTTCTTCTTCCATTTCTGTTCCACATTGGCTCCTTCACACCCCACTCCTACGCCCCTTCCCATCTCTCTCGGCTTGCCCAAAAGGCCTGCGCTTGATCTCCTTTAATGTTTGTGTATGAAAGCCCACGAAAAAAGGGGGGGGAGTGTTGCAGCTTCCTCCCCCTCTTAAATTCAGTCTAGTTTTGTGTGAACGCAGCACATGGAAGTGGAAGCCCATGTGCAAATTTCCTAAGAAAAGCTAATAGAGGTGAGTTTTCGTTGGAGTTTGAATGTCTGGTGAACAGCTTGCTGCCTCTCTACATCTTTCTGCACATGTTATGAATGCATATTAGCAAGTCATCTTTGTCTTGAGCAGAGAAGAGTTTGAACAAAATTGCTGCTTTTCTTTCTGGCTTTGTCACTTCGTAGCTTTCTTTGAGAAGGAATATTGGCGCCCTCACATGAATGCAGCAAATGCTTCTTCTCTGCATTGTGAATCGTCTTAACTGTATATTCCCACCTACCCAACATGCACAGTTCAAGTCATTCAAGATGCACAGCTCTTGACAAAAAAAATGCCTTAGCAATAACAAATCTTTCGCCATACATGGTGTTTTTCAGGGTAGAACTGATTCTTTTGAAATCTCTGTTGTATTAACTGTCTTCCTAATTGTTTCCTCAAGGATTTTATCTTGTAAATGGGTTAAGGGGAGTTGTCTCTGAGAGATCCAGACACTTCTCGAGAGATACTGATACAGTGTTCATTAGATATTGTAGAGCTAGAGCCATCCTTATAGGTGATTCCATCCAACCCACCTTTGGTGCAGAAAATGAGAGCTCTTTTATCCGAAGATGTCCAGTGAACTCTCTCTTCCTCTGCACTGTATCAGTTGAGGCTTGACTAATGCAGGATAAGGTGGCAGTATTGCTTCCATGTCTTGGAAACCATGTTTCTGTAAGTGCAGCCCTAAAATCTGTTAGCCTTTTTTTTCCAGCCATATTGCAGTGACTCCTATTCAGCTGAGGGAAATCATTCTCCCGAGATGCTTTTCACTAGTTCTGCTGTAGTATATAATAATCTCCCGTTACACTTGGACTCCCACTGCCAAGTTGGATTCAAGGAGTAAGGGCCAGGTGTCATAATTTGTGGCAGCAAGTTCAGAACTAAATTTGACCATACCGCCTGAGGTGACCCTGAAAGAATAGAACCGATCCACTGTTGTGGAAATGCCAACAGGGCATGGACTGATTTAATATCGACGAAACTCCCAGAGCAGAGATGCTGTCAAAACAGCAAATTTCAAAAGAGTTTGTGGTACTTGAGCTGTCACCCAAAATAGTCTGGTTAGAGACAGAGAAGGACAGTTGTTAACCAGACTTCCAGGATTCAGCAGGTTGCTACTTGACCAAATGGTCATGATAGAAAGAAACAAGGGCTGGTTGGTAGTATATATCTAGCAAGCTAATGTACCCCAATACTAAACAGGGACCCTTTTTTGTTTAGACAGACAGCTAATACCTGAAAATAGAGAAAGTTAATTCCGGGGGGGTTTCTTAATATAAAAATTGTCTTTATTTTCCCTAAGTTGCAGATAGGATGAGTTATAAAATACAAATTTGTGTTGCTATGTGATGTCAAATCACCTTCGACTTACAATGACCCTATGAATAAGCCATCTCCAAAATGTCCTGTCCCCAACTGCCCTGCTCAGCTCTTCTGCACTCAAACCTGTGGCTTCCTTCAGGGAGTCAGTCGATCTTGTATTCATCTTTTCCTACTGCCTTCCACTTTTCCCAGCATTGTTGTTTTTTCCATAGAATCCTGCCTTCTCATGATATGCCTTAAAGTAGAATTGATGACCCTATGAATAAGCCATCTCCAAAATGTCCTGTCCCCAACTGCCCTGCTCAGCTCTTCTGCACTCAAACCTGTGGCTTCCTTCAGGGAGTCAGTCGATCTTGTATTCATCTTTTCCTACTGCCTTCCACTTTTCCCAGCATTGTTGTTTTTTCCAGAGAATCCTGCCTTCTCATGATATGCCTTAAAGTAGAACTGTCAGCATTTTTGGCTCCAGAGATAGTTCAGGCTTGATTTGATCTAGGACTGTTCGTTTGTCTTTTTGGCGTTCCAGACTATCTGAAAAGATCTCCTCCAGCACCATTTTTAAACAAATCACTTTTTCTCCTGTCAGCTTTCTTTACTGTCCAGTTTTCGCACCCATACATGGTGATAAAAAATAAAAGAGTGTGGATAGCCTTTGTCTTGGTCTCCAGTGACACATCCTTGATGACATTTTCTAAATCCTTCATTACTGCCCTGTTGAAAAGAGTGTGGATAGCCTTTGTCTTGGTCGCCAGTGACACATCCTTGATGACATTTTTTAATCCTTCCTTACCGCCCTGTTGAGTCTCAGTCTTCTTCTGATTTTCTGGCTACGATCTCCATTTGGATTGATGATTGAACCAAGGTATACAAAACCTCTAACTATAAAAAAGATGAGTTACTTTGGCCTTGCTGTATTTGGCCAAGCATTGTGGAAAGGAGCCTGCTGCATTAGATAGGTCTTGCTTTAATCCAGAAGGTCTCCTTATATATACTTTTAAATTTTAATCATAACAAGACTACTCAGATGATATAGAATAAACTAATTTTTGGATCCAAGTCCTGGTGAAATAATAGTGTCTTTAGCATCATCTGGCCAGAGGACCAAATAGACCTCCTCACCCTGGGGAAGGAATGCAGCTACAGAAAATGGTTATTTGTGCATTCCAGCAATTGAGAAAGAGGTTCTGTGGAAGGAGAAAGTTCCTAGTCCTCAATTGTCTTGGCCTTTTAACACCTTGAATTTTGCTTGGAAACATATGAGAAGCTAATGAAGATATCGTCATGTGCTTAAAAAAACACAGAACTAACAAGAGAACCCTACCAAAAAAAAACCCCTCCACTTTCCCCCTATTTTGTGCAGTCTCTATAAATTGTAAGCAATTTTACTTCAGACCTAACCCTTTTTGCCTCGGATAGAAGCACCATTGCTGACTGGATAGATAATTCAGTGAGTTGGCTGCTTGGCTGAGAGTCGAGATAATTCAGTGAGTTGGCTGCTTGGCTGTGGAGCCCAACTTTGAGAGTTTGATTCTCCACTGTGCCTCGCAGGAGAAGAGCCAGCCTATGTAGCCTTGGGCAAGTTGCACAGTCCATGGTAAACCACTTCTGAGTACTCATGTGCCTAGAAAATCATGAAAAGGGTGGCCATAAGTTGGAATCAATGCTATAATTAATTAATTATAAAGCATTGTGCGTATTCATGTCGCTTATGCACTATAATCAACTGTAAGAATAGAGAAACATGTTCAGTTATGTGGTGGTTTCAAAGAAAATTCATTTACAAACATGGGAGTTCTGGAAGCATCACAGTTTTGAAATTCCATCCATTACAGGATATAGAAGTGGCAGAGAAAAGGCTACAATCAAGAGAGCATTTACTTCTGCACCCTGATACTATTAATCTTCAGGTAAGCTTATAGTGGATCCCCACTTCTTCCTTGTGTTTTAACACAAACACCCAAGCTCTCTCTTCTTGCTTTTGTTAAAGGACAGTATTCTTCAAAAACGTAGTCATCACTCTGTCCATGCACGCTGTTGAAGATTCAGGTCATTGTTAAAGGCCCTCTGTTAGACCAAGTATTGGAATTCATGTTACGGTAATTGTGTAATAGGATGCTGCTTTAGCTGGGTGTTAACATCTACTTAATTGTTGCCACAATTTCAGTTGCCAATATGTTATGCCTTGTTATCTTCAAATTATGGACATTCATTAGGATAAGTGATAGGCTCAACACAATGCATCCCTTTTTAAAAACTTATTTGGGGAGCTTTTCTCAATAATATTAATATCAAAGAAAAATCAGTCAATAGTGAACAATTAGTTTCATCACTGTTTCCTCAGTCACACCATTTCAAAGGTGCTCAGAGTACATTTAGGGCCCAAGTAATGAGGGTGGTGGCAATCTTTTGTCCCCTTCCTTTCTTTCCAATTTTGGAGAAAGGCTGGGAAGTGTTTCCGTCATGCAGTCTTTGGAAGTGTTGCAAGCATCCTTGTAGCAAAGCCTTGCACAGGCAAGATCCAAGCTTCCTTCTGAGCTTTTGGACTGACAAATGGAAGAAAAGACCACAGTGCAAACTGTCGCCTTGCGTTGCACCTGGGAAGCACTTTGAAACATCATGGTACTATTCAAGGACAATGTAAGTTCTCACTGACTGCAACTTTTGCATTGCTTCTGTTATCAGAAAAATTAGTAGAGGAATGATTGACAACCGAGGATGGTTATAGGACAGTTGGTGGAGCTGGATCTGAGTGTGGGAAGGTCATGTGATACCTCAGCTGAGAATGACAATGTATAGAAGAAAACAGAAGATGCAAATGAAATTTAGAGGATTAGGAGAAAGGAGGGATGAGTCAGAAGGCTGATCATTAGGTTAGCTGTTAAAGAGAGGACTCGGAACTTGGAAAAGTTGTATTTTTGAACTGCAAATCTGACAGCACCCCTCTCCAAGTATGACCACTGACCAGAGAATTCTGCAAATTATGGTCCAAAAATGTGTTCCTTTGTCCTGAGCCAGTGGTTTCCAATCTTGGGTGCCCAGATATTCTTGGACAATAACTCCCAGAAATCCTAGCCAGCAAGGCTTCTGGAAGTTTTAGTCCAAGAGCATCTGGGGACCCAAGGTTGAGAACCACTGCCCTAAGCTCTGGCTTAGGTTAGGATGTGTTATCCTGTATCAGAGAGGACCCGTTATTTTGGCTATTATTTTCCATCAGCAAATACATTTACAGCTTTTAATTCATGAACATATTCTGGTCTGATGTGTTCTAAGATCAGTTGTAAATTGTATTGCCTGGCATGAAAGATCAAGTTGTATTGCTCACTGTAGATCCATAGGGAGGTTGCCCCAGACTGTTTCGGGGGATCTTACGGGAAGTGTGGGATTCAGTGGATAGGGTGAGGGAAGAAAACAGAGAGATGGGATGAAATGTGGGTGTGGGTTGACCCCTTCTGTGCTCAAAACTATTTGGACCTGGTTGCTGCAAACTCCTTTAAATCAGTGCTGTTCATTGTACTTTTCTAGAGGTCAACTCATTTCAGTTCTCAGTTAATTCACATTAAGAAGATAATTTTAATGAAGAATTTGGTACAGATAAGCATAAGATATGTGTAACATAATGAAAAGAAAATTCTGTGCCTCTAAAAGAAACAAAGAAATCTTTGCTGAAGGCCTAATATGCATAACTAAGCTAGTCTAATGCCTAATTCACAAAGTGTGTATAAAAAGCACTAGTGCTGATAAATAAATATAAATATACATATACTTTGGCATCATATAGTGTATTGAATAGGGTTGTCACGTTACTGTTAGACAAATTCCTGGATTTTATACATGCCACCCAGTGCCCATTTACGCCATCAGCTGGCCCTGATTCTAAGCCTTCATTTTAAAAAAAAATCCTTATCCCTTATAGAACTGGAGTTATAAGGCAATGCATGTAGTCCCTGTTTTGGCCAAATGTTGCAAGAAAAAAAAGCCTTTCCATTTGACTAGCCAATGAGCGAAGCCATCCACAGTTTAAAATTAGCTCACAGATGAATTAGCCAAAGATGTTGTAGTTGGGGGAATGCCTGGCCCTTGCAAAGCTGCCTACAAACCTTATATAGAAAGCAAGTAACCCATAGCCATGAATGTTTTATCTGAGTTGGGGGGATTATGAGAGCAGCAATCCAGAAATGAACTTTTCCAAGCTCAGGTATTGTGGGTTTTAGTACATTTCCTGCTTTCGGAGGAGTTAGACACCATGACCTAGGGGTCACTTCCGGCTTTAGAGTTCTGTGATTCCGTAATTAGATTGTTCAAGGCTCACATTTCAAATGTATTATTCACCACAAGAGGGCACATCCACTCATTGCAGATTTACTCAAAGCATATAAATCTTTCCAGTCTTCATTGTACTGTATAATTGAGGGATTTAAGAATTAATACTAAAGTATTTTATCCTTTATCTAAATTATTTCACATATAATAACAAGCTTTAAAAACACATGGTTCAGATTGTTTTGTTGATAGGTTGGACTGAGAATGGAATGGATTTTGTTGAAAACCAAACTTAAAGTACATACTATGTCATATCTTTTCCAGACTCTTTACTGGGCAAAAGTGGAAGAATCCATCCCAAAATGGGAGCCATTTTTATTAGGAAGAACAAATGCTCCTCTTGGGGTTAAAATAAAGCTGACAAAGCAGAACACGCCTCGCTCCAAAGAATTTTTATCAAGATAATCAGGAACCAAAATCAGGCCAGAGTTGTGGGAAGAATCTACTCAAGCCTCCAGTGTATTGCTTATAAAGTGTCTGTTGAATATTTACTGACGAAGCACAATTAATTCTAAAACTGCACTGAAGAGTTTTAGGGTGCCTGTGTCTGTTATCTGCCTGTGTGTGAATTCCAGCTTTGGAATCAAACGTCGATGAAACAATGCAGTTTGGAAATTCAGCTGTTTGCTTGCTTTGCTAAGATAAATAATGTAATCTGTTACTCATCTTTCACATTTAGAAAGCAGCAATGCCTTTTCCCAATAAAATAGGAAACTGATATCAATCTGAGTGTCTGTCCCTTGAGAGGGTTTACATCTTTGGAGTGACTGTAGATTAGAACATGTAGCAGGTGGTGTTGTCTCAACGGAACCAAAAATGGTGCATGCTAAGGTAGGAACCTGCTCAGTGTTTGGTCTATGGACACAATGTCTTGTGCCTAAATCTTACTCTCCTCTGTTATAGAGTTTCAGATTGACTCTCGCTGGTATGACTGGATTTTAGACTGTTGCAGCACTGAGATGAACTCATCTTTGTACACAATATCTGTTTTACCAATGTGTGTAACACAAGGGGCTTGCTCAAAAATGTTATTCTTCTTCGTGGCCTCTGTGAATGCACACATAAGGTTTAGTCTGCACCTGCGCTTACATTCTCGGAGAATTCTAGAGCTTAAAGTAATTTTATGGGATGATCCCCCATGAGGCACAGGCTCCTCCCACCCAAGAGTCCCCTCAGTTCCTTTTTTCCGCCGTGCTGTAAAGTTCTACGGAGAAATAGAGCTATTTCCACAGGATTTCCCCTTAGTTTATTGATCACTTCCCCTCTAAATTGGTTACCTTCCCTTCTCTATTAACTAATCAACGATCCCCCGTGATTGTTTTTGTTTTCGCTTTCCAACCTCTCTATTAACTAATCAACGATCCCCCGTGAGTTGTTTTTGTTTTCGCTTCCAGCCTTTTGACTTACACACACACACCAACCGTTTACTTCTTTCGGCTTTCCCACCTCTTATGGCCTCCTCAGCCCATTGACTCTAGGGCAATTTAATGCTTTCTGCCTGGGTAAGTAGCATATTACCCAGTTGCAGTAGCTGCAGTCCGCAGGAAAGTTTAGAAACCACACTTTAGCAGTGGCACTTGTTCTAGTTTGTTTTTTCCCCGCAATTTTTTAGAAACCACGCTTTAGCAGTGGCACTTGTTCTAGTTTGCTTTTTACCCTGCAATTTCGGCTACCTCCGCTGTTCAGCCACCAGAAAATTAGATCGAGTGACAGTCCCAGTTCCCTCTCACATAGCTATTCCCCTCGATCTGGAAGGGGCCCCAACAATGCCACGGAGTTTTTAAAATCTACGTCTTATGCGAATTTGCCTTTGAAGAGAGGATGTGTCAGCTCTACCTGCACAAGCTCCGGGATCATCCGATAGCCTCTCTCCTCCAACTGGCCATCAGTGACTGCGCTACCGTCCAGTCTGGCCGTGGCCCATTATAGCCCTACATGAGGGGGGACATTTCACGTTCCAGAGTTCGACGCCGTAGCCCATTATAGCCCTACATGAGGGGGGGCATTTCACGTTCTAGAGTTGGACCTCGAGGCTCTTCCTCTATCCAACGAGAAAAGGAAAAAGAAATGGAGGCATGTCTCACTACCCCGATTTCAGCCCCTATATGGACAATCATAGTGAGAGACTGCTGAATCATTGAGGGAGACTGGCAAATGTGCCTATGAAGAGAGGATGTGCCATCTCCATCTGCACAAACTCCGAGATTGCTCAGTAGCCTCTCTCCTCCAACTGGCCATTCACTGACTACACTACTGTCCAGTCTGGCCTTGGCCCATTATAGCCCCACATGAGGGCGGGCATTTGACGTTCCAGACTTGGAGTTTGAGGCTCTTCCTCTACCCGACGAGAAGAGGAAAGTGAAATGGAGGCGCGTCTCACTACCCCGATTTCAGCCCCTATATGGACAATCATCGTGAGAGACTGCTGAATCATCGAGGGAGACTGGCAAATTTGCCTCTGAAGAGAGAATGTGCCAGCTCCATCTGCAGAAACTCCAAGATCGCTCGGTAGCCTCCCTCCTCCAACAGGCCATTCACTGACTGCGCTACCATCCAGTCTGTCCATGGCCCATTCTAGCCCTACATTAGGACGGGCATTTGACAGTCCAGACTTCGAGCTCGAGGTTCTTCCTCTATCTCCCGAGAAGAGGGAGGAAAAGGGAAACACGTCTCCCTACCTCGATTTAAGCCTCCATATGGACTATCATTGGGATAAGCTGGTCGATCTGCCTCTGGAAGAGAGGACATGCAAGCTCCACCTACACAAACTCCAGGATTGCCCAGTAGTCTCTCTCCTTCAACTGGCCATTCAATGACTGTGCTACCGTCCAGTCCACCCTTGGCCCTCTCTAGCCCTACATTAGGGTGGGCATTTGACAGTCCAGATTTCAAGCTCAAAGATCTTTTATCTCATAAGGAAGATAGGGAGACAGATGCTTCCCTCGCTGCATCAGGCTCGACATGGACATGCTCAATGCCTCTGTTTCATCTTCAGTATTTCAGCTTCTCGACATGGAATGCTGCTTCTCATATGCCGTTCCATCTCATAACAAAGTCCATTCTGGTTGGGCTCAACATGTACAGTACAATCTATTTTTTGGCATGGAGCTATGCTCCTTATATGCTGATCCATGTCTTGTCAAAGCCATTCTGGTCAGCCTCGACACGGACAAACTACACTTTGGCATGGAGCTATATTTATATGCCGATCCATCTCATATCAAAGCCTGCTTTGATCGAGCTTGACATCACCAAATTAAATGCTTCAGTTGTTTCCACAGCATTTCAGTACTTTGATGTGGAATAATCCTCCCCTTATTCCAGTTCGTCTCATGTTGAAGGCCATTTTAATCGGCCTAAAGGAGCAGACTGAATCTTTCAGTTTTTCTGGAATATCAATGCTTTAGCGTGGCAGATGCTTCTTATCAGCCCACCTATCTCTAGTCAAGGCCGTTACGATCGTGCTTGACACGGACGAGCTAGATATTTCTTCTTTCGCCCTCACATCTACGCCTTGGCTGGGAACGATGCCTATCGAAGCCCTTTATATTGGGCTAGACATGGGTCAGCTAACGTTCCCTTTTCTCCACCATAGTAACACTTTGACATGGAATGATGGTTTCCATATGCCAATCCTCTTTACGTTGATATTGTTCTTGTTGTTTCTCTACCATATCAACACTTCGGCAGAAAAAGATGCTTCCCAGATGCCAATCCATCTCTCAAGTCAAAGCCCATTATGCTTGGGTAAGACATGGACAACCAGTGACGCCGCCATCTAAATACACAAATCTACACTGGTCTCAGCTTCGAATTGAACTTCTGCCTCATTTAGATCGTAAACTGGGAACTCACTCCTCGAACGAATCTCCATCATGATGCAATCCAGCCATTATCATCCTATGTCACCTTCAGTGCGCTTTTCCTCTTACGCGCAGCTTACTGCATCCCTTTAGATGTGAATGGAGGAACCACCTTCTCCAGACTTCAACCTCGTTGTGACTGATATCACTCTGGACAGATCACCATCACTTAGCTGAGCATTTTACCAGCTATACTGAATCTAATAAAGGATGTTTAGGGCAAATCACCTCCTATTTACAGATCTCAGGACAAGTAGATAGCAGGTACAAGGTACACCGAAATGATTCAGAAATTTCAGGATGACACCAGCCCCAATCCAATCATTGTAGTTTCAAATTTAGCAAAGGCAAGAAACGATTTTTTTGTGAACTCTACTATAAAGAGTACGGAAACATTGATGTCCTTGGCATGGAGATTTATTCAATCACTTCGGCTCCATGTAGTCAACTACCAGTCACGATAGCCACCTACCAAGAGCAATTATGGTCTAAGATTTTACCTATCTTGAGATCCATTAAAACAAGGCTTATATCTACTTACACTGAGACCACGACTCTAGCAAAGCAACACAGGATTGCTGCTAGGCACGCCAATGGCTTCAATTACTGTGGCATCCTCAATCTCGATAGAAGGCTTGCCTGATTAGGCTCGCCTGTCTCATCAGAAGATGCAAAGGACAGAACTGAATATCTTACATTGCATGGTACCAGTCTCTTCAGTCTATGACTGGTGACACTAGGAAAAATATACACAACTAAATTTTATATGGACACACAGCCCTTTCATTCCTCTCGACTTCAGTCTAGACAATCTCACTTCTACCCATAGTCCTTTCAACCGTATCTGGAGTCCTAGCCTCCCAGACGGTTCGGTTTATACAAGAATGTCACCACATGTCTCAAGGTTACATTATAGAATTAACTCTGTTCCTCTTTGCGGAACCTTAAAAACTTACTCTTTTTTCGCTAACCCTCCAGGAAGAGATCTCTGCCTCCTGGACAAGCATGCCATAATCCAAGTTCCAACGTCAGGCCTCTACAACGGATTCTACTCCTAAATCATGTTACGATGCTATCATGGGTCTCAACTTACATCACCCAAAGTTTCATCTGGTACTATAGCATACGTTTCTTATATAGGATGATCTTCAACTTCGTTTAAAAAAAAAAAAGAAGAATCGTTCTGCTTTTTGACCTTGGGCTTTGATTATAGGCATGATGTACAACATCTCCCCGAGCTCATGCCTTCCGTGACTTCAGTGCTGCAGCAAGCCAGGCTCAGCTTCAAAGCACTCCATGAGTGGTGTCCTTTGCTGTTCGACCCAGTGGGAATCACTATCCCAGCAGCTGCAAGTTCGATTCTGTTACCGTTGGAGAGTACCAACCATCTACTTACTTGCTATAGGTCTGATCGCCGAATACAGGGTCTGTTGTTCCTGTGCAGATGCGGACATGAACACCGTTGAGGACACATTCATATGGCATTGGACAGGGAATTTGCCATACTCTGCCCCCCAATACCCTTATCCTATGGACAGTCTTCCATCTTCATCATTCCTAATCAAATGCAATCCTAATACCTCCGTGGTGACCAAGGCAGTCCTGTTTTGCCTTTATTTCAATATTGGCAGTCACGTTTCAGTTCCCTCTGTTTCCTGACCTCCTGATTTTGGAAGGAGGGATGGTTTACCATCCGGATCTATCATCCATGCACTTGGCAGCCGGGAGAATACTCCCATTTTTACATTCGTGTTTGATTGAGCTCGAAAACCATCAACTCAATGTTGATATGTAAATGAATGAAATCTTTATTAAATATACAGAGAAAAATAACTACCTTACCAACTTTCCTTGAAAGTGT